CCCAGCTCCTGGAGCACCCTTGGATCCAGGCCCAATCGTGAGGGGTGTGTCTCCATTTGTTCAAATGGCTTCCTGAGCCCTGTCCATCCCTGTCCCTTTGTGATTGTCTAGGGAGCTCTCCTGGTTCTGCTAGCTCATCTGTCTTTTGTTTCTTCTCAGATACATGATGCTAATTAATAGAAGCTGAATCATTTTGTACCAAGTAACAAAAAAATACTCCAAGCAGTCTTCAGCTCCTCCATACTCTGAAATGTGTGGAGTCATACAAGGTGGGGGCTAAAAGGCAGTGGCCACATCCTTGGCATCTTGCATTTACGACCCCCTGAGTCTCCCTAGGGGCCATGGAGAGGCCCTTCGCCCTGTCTTCCTTCCCCTGACCTTACCCCACGGTGATACTCTCAGCATATACCCCACTGAAGCCACAGCCACATCTGTCTCATCCATAGTAAGATCCCCAAGATCTAGAATGAAGCCTGGTACTTGGTCGACACTCAGTATGTGTTTCTGAATGAGTGATGAACTGCCAGCCTGCAGCTCTAAGAACGGGCCTGTCTTCCCAGGTTCGGCAGTGTGTTCCCGAGTCTCAACATGGCGGTGAAACGGCGGGAGCAGGCTTTGCAGGACTACAGAAGGCTGCAAGCCAAGGTGGAGAAGTACGAGGAGAAGGAGAAGACGGGACCGGTGCTGGCCAAACTCCACCAGGTACCAGGAAGAAGTGCTGGGGGTGGACCAGAAGCCATGTGGTCCCACACAGCAAGTTCCTGCTTCGCCAAGGGGCCAAGACACCAGATGTCCTGACACCTCTGCCCTCCCCCCACCCCACCCCACCCCACACACACGTCTTGCCCCAGTCAGGGTTCGGGTGAGCTGTGACACCCAGAGTGTTGCTCTCCAGGCCCGAGAAGAGCTTAGGCCGGTGCGGGACGACTTTGAGGCTAAGAACAAGCAGCTCCTGGATGAGATGCCACGCTTCTACAACAGCCGACTGGACTACTTCCAGCCCAGCTTTGAGTCCCTGATCAGAGCACAGGTGAGGCGGCTGCCACCCCTCCTGCCCCGGAGGATGGCCCAGCGCTGCTTCCCCTGGTGGGGAGGCGGTGGGGAGGCAGCCGTGGGCTTTGGACCAGCCCAGCCCAGCCCCACCCCACACACTTGAAGTAGGCTTAGCCACTTTCTCCCACCGCCCCCACCTGCCCCCCCCCCACTCCCCCGCACCGCCCCCTCGAGGGAGGAATCCAGGCACCTCAGGTTGTTGGCTGGAATTCCTGTTTTGGTTCCTCCATTGCTCTGTGGTTAATCCCAGCCTTGGGACGAGGTCCCCCTTGTCCATGAGTCCTTCGCTCATGTTCTGCCCACTCCTGCTCAACCACAAGGGCAGGAAGAAGCCTGCAGTGCATCACCCGGATGGGCAGGGGCCTTGTGTGGTGGGCTCAGGTCAAGATCAGAGGCCTTTTCTAAGGACCCTGCACCCCTGCCCTTCCCTGATTAGCCCTTTTGGTGGAAGACTAGGGAGTGTCTTGACCTTTAGCAAACCTGGGCAGGGTCCCTAAACCCTGGAGAGAACCACGCTCAGGACTCCCTCTGGGGCACCACTTTCGGGGGAAAGGTACGCTCACTCAGGCTGGGCTGGGGTGGCGGTGCCCTGAGGTGGCCCTGGGAGCCATCTGGGAGCCATGCCTCCTGCCACTCAAGGGTGTAAAGGCAGAGTCGCTCCTGCCCTCCTCTGCCCCACATTCTTCAAGCAGTTAGCGGGAGTTAGTCTCCCCATTTGTGAAAAGAGAAAAGGTTGAGGTGCCAAAACCAAGAGCTCTTCTATATGTGGGACACCCCGCCGCCTCCTCCCACCCCTCCACAAGGTGACTGCGCTTTCCCACCAGGTAACGAAGCTAAAGGCTCAGCATGTCCCCATCCGCCTCCAGCCCACCACCTGAGCTCCTGGCCTGGGTGTCTGGCGCCCTCCAGTGGACACTCTCATTCTTGCAGCGTCCACAGTTGCAGACACTGAGGAAAAGCCAGGTTCCTCCCCCCAGCCTATCTTGGGAGAGCCCCCAAACCCATGGGAATCATGGGATCCGGAGCTCTCAGCTGGATTAACATTAGTGACCAGAACCCCAGGGGCGCCGGGAAAGTGAAGCAGAGAGCTGAGTGCGTGGGGCGGCCCTGCCCTTGGAGGTGCATGCAGGCTTGCTTCCGGCGCTTCTCCCTGGGCCAAGGGGCAGTGGCTTGAGGAGACCCCAGCCTCCCCTCTCCTGTGCCGCACTCCCAGGCCCTGGCCCAGCCCCTCCGCCCTGCGCTCTGCGCAGGAGGAAGGCCTCCGAGCGCCGGGCGGGAGCTCTGGTGCCCTGTCAGCAGGCAGCAGGGTGGTGAGGGGTTGTTTACTGCCTCGTCAGCGCCAGCCTCCCCCTCCCGCGCCTGCTGCTGTCGTTAGTCACAGGAGAAGTGAGCATTCCAGTGACTCAGCCTGCGCAGCGCAGCTCGGGGCAGCGAGCCGGGGGAGGGGGCCGCCCCTCCTCGCCACCCCAGCCCAGGCCCGGGCCCCTCGGGTGACCTTGATTCAACTACCCCTTAGCCAGCGCAGACCCAGTTCTGGGAGTGTGGAAGGCTACATGGCCTGGCCTTGCCCCTAGTAGCGCTGCAAGCCTCTGGAACAGGAGAGTTCCTTCTCCCCAGAGATAGCTTAGAGCTGGAGCTGGTAAAGTATCAGGGTGTTCAACCAGTGTCGAACATTTCCTTGAAAGCCCATGCTTGCATTTGGTCGTGAGGTGGAGGCTGGGGCAGAAGGGGCCCCTGGCCTCCTCCCTGGGGCCTGCTCAGCCCTCCACCACCTGAGAGAAGCTGATGGTCCTCGCTCCTCGGCCTGTTGCCCCCACCTCCTTCCTGCAGGCCTCCTTCCTACTCTGGTGTCTGTGCAGGAGACACAGGAACAATTCTGGTCTCTGGCTCGCCTTTCCTGGGTCTGCAGCTGAGACGGTGGTCAGGGCTGGGAAGGGACAGAGGCTAGAACCGTGTCCCCTCCCACCTTGACCTCTAAGACTGTCCCAGGGCTCTGGGAGCTGCTGTGACCTCTCCCTCACAGCCAAGAGCTTCTCCTGGCTTCCATGAAGCAGGTAGCCCCTTGTCAAGTGCCTGACTCCCTAGGTCCACCCCCAGGATCCAAGGGTCCACAGTCCCCCCAGCCCTCCCCCCTCAGCTGCCTGGGGAGCTCAAGCCTCCACCTCTTCAAGGACTTGTCACTCCCCTCTGCACCCAGGCAGTGGGCAGCGAACATTGCTGAAGGGCTCGGGGCCATGGTTGTCCTGCAGTTCAAGGGGAAGGGCGGTGGCAGAGGGGCGGTAACGGAATAGCAGAGGGCCAGCCCACAGGCTCCAACTTCTCTGCCCACCGTCCCAGGGGTGCAGTGCTTTGGGGGCTCCGTGTCCTGAGCACAGCACCTGCAGACCTCTCCTCTTACCCACAGGTCGTGTACTACTCAGAAATGCACAAGATCTTTGGAGACTTGACCCAGCAGCTCGACCAGCCTGGCTGCCCCGACGAGCAGCGGGAGCGGGAGAACGAGGCCAGGCTGAGCGAGCTCCGAGCCCTCTCCATAGTGGCCGATGACTGAGCCTGGCGAAGACTTTGGGACACAAGCAGCCTCCCTCCTCTGCCCTTTACAAAAGCTCGGGCATCATCCAGCAGAGGGCCCCTCCCCGGGAGAAGTATGGGGACCGCGGTGTTCCCCCCCCCACCCCAGCCCCCGGGAAAGCGTGACACCAGGAGCCCTAGCAGGCTGCCGTCTCCCCACCCCGGCGCAGCGGAGACCGGCAGCCAGGTAAGCAGTGCAGACTGTCTGTTCCTGAAGAACCGTCCAAAGTGCCTCCTGGCCTCGGGCCAGAGCCTGGACTGTCCGCTCCCTAGAGGTGTCAGCCTGGCTGCACAGTTGGGACCACATCTACCTCCAGAAGGGCTCCCCTGGGAGTCCCCCCACCGATGCTGCCTTTTCACCTGACTCACCTTTTCTGGGAGAGGCTGTGACACTGCCCTGGAGTGTCTCCTGGCCCCAAGAGCCCCTCACCCCAGTCTCCCAGTACTCAGCCTCAGCCCACTTCTAGCTTTTGGGTCACCTGCAGGGGAGGCTCCTAGTCTTACAGCTGCCGTAGAAGCTGGGACTCAAACGTGTGTAAATATCCTACCACACTAAACGTCACCGACCAAGTCACGGGCCTCAGAGCAATAGTGGGTTTATGTCTCACCTAGTTATTTGGAATTTTATTTTTCCAAGTAAAATTTTCAATGAAATGTCCATATATTATTGTGCTATAACTATAAAGAGGGGAAGGGCCACCCCAGGTTTCTCTCTGGGTTAGGCTGGCCCCTGCTGAGTTGGGGGGTGGTCAGAGCGGGGTTGCCCCAAACACCTGTAGCACCCCCTCTCCTGACCAGCAGGCCACGGACCCCAGAGCTGCCCCCCACCAAGCACCCTCTGGAGGAGACACCTCCACCAGGCAGAGGCTGGGTTCAGGGTGGGGAGGAGGGTGCAGAATCAGACCTGGACAAGGAGGCAAGGGGAGAGCTGTGGAGCACGCTGCATTTGTTTTTGACTTTGGTTTATTTAAAAAACAAAAAGCCAAAAAAAAAAAAAAAAAAAGAAAACCAACTTTATATACAAAGTCAAACTGAAACCACGAATTAATGGAAAGAGGCAAGACTTGTGGGGAAGGGGAAAGGCTGGGCCAGAGCCAATACCACATTCTGAACACGGGGAGCCGGGGGACGGGTGCTGGTTTCTTCTGGCGCGTCTGGGGAAGCCGGAACACAGTGTTCACTGGCAGACATGGCCCCACACCAGACGCTCGCTAGCGCTGACTCTGTTCCTTCCATGGCCAGGGAGCCCCCTCCCCAAAAACCTGCTCCTGGAAGCTGGCAGGATTTGTGCCATTTGTAAGGGCTCTTACCCCAACCAGATTCCACATCTGCTTCTTTAGTTTATTGGCATCAGACCTTATGACAGACTTGAAAAGTCTTTTCCTGCCCTGTCTTATTCTAAACTGTAAGAGGACAGGAGAAAGTCAGCACAAGACGAAAGGGCCCCAGGAGGAATCCCAAGGTAGAGGGCAAAATGACATTCGAGGGGTGCACAAGATGTTGGATTTAGTTGCGCGCGGAACCGGCTTCCTCACTCATCCGACCCACGTGGCACAGACAGACCCCGCCCTGACGGCCTGAGCGCCTCCACAGAGGCTGAGTGCCGCCGGGGCAGCCACCCCTGCCTCCAGCCCCCAGGTCCTGCTCTGGCTGCTTTCTGGGCTCTAACTTCAGCAGGCTCCATCGCTGACCTCACAGGACGGCGGCTCCTGCACCAGGCCCCTCAGTTGCTTGGTGCTGGCTCCTCCTTCTCTACCCAGCTGTCAGCCTGTTTGAAACAGACACACGAGAATCAGGACTCGGATGAGGAAGAGCTGAGATCCGAGATCCCATCCGAGAACTACTAACCACTTCCTCCTGGGAGACTCCCGGTCACAAGCTGCGGACTGATGGATTCCATAAGAAACTAGCAGATGGAGGCAAAGGCCAGTGAAGCTGGGCTGGCTATGCTGACCCACCTGACCACGCAACGGCCAGCTCTGCAGGAGGCTCACCTTTTCAAGCATCCGCTGTGTGTCCAGCTGCAAGGTGGTCAGGCGCCTTCGGAACTCCTGAAGCAGCCGCTGAAGCTGGTTCTTCTGTCGCTCGGCTGTGCGGGCCATCTCCTCGGCCTCGGCCAGCCGGGCCCGCAGGTCCTGCATTTCCGTTGCCAGTGTCTTATTTGTCACTTCAGTGGCTGAGAAACGGTTATGGCTCTCCTCTGGTGGGGGCAGGCCGGAGAGACTGCTCAGCTAAGAGGGGAGCGGATGGCGGGTGGCCTGGAGTCTGGGGTGCGGGTCCCCCTCTTCATCTCCCCAAGCCACAGGCCACTCACCCAGCTTAAGCTCCAGTGTGTGAATCTTGTTCTCCAGGTAGAGCCGCCCACTGTCCTGCTGCTCCGCGCGCTGCAGCAGGTTCCCCACGTTGATGAGGCTGCCGTTGTGGGACACCAGGCCCTTGTGCTCCACCGGGGCTGCACCCGGCTTCCCGCTCTTCCCAGGAGGAGGCAGCAGGTCCAGGTTCCCTAGAAGGGCCAGGAGAAGACTCAGGGACGGGAAGCAGGAGAAAGCAGCCCGCCCGCCCCCGTCCCCTGGAGGCCACAGGACCCAGTTCGCACCAAAGAGCAGGTCCTCGGGGAGCGCCCCGTCTGGGCCCTCCAGGCGGCTATACTGGAGGCTCCGGTACTGGCAGATGTTCTGGGACACCGCCCTGCTGACCAGCTGTTTGGCCTGGAGGAAACACACCCACAATGCCCAGAGGAGAAGGTGCAAGCCCCTGTAATGGCGCCCAAGCACCTAGCAGCACGGCATCCCAGGCCACGCCTGCACACAGCGATGCTGGGAGCCTCAGGGAGGCCCGGGAGACTCACCTGCTCTGCGCTGAGCCGCAGCCCGAGGGTGAGCAGGATCCTCTCCAGGTCTCGCCGGTGCAAGTAGCCACACCAGTTGGCGTCAAAGTAGACGAAAGCAAGGAGACAGTCCACGGGGAGCACAACGGAGGGTTCTAGCTCCTTGGGCTGCGAGAGGAACAAGGGTGAACAGAGTTTACAAATAGCTCTCCTAATGCTGCATCACCCAGGATGAGGCCCTTTCAAAATAAGGTAGCTTGGCTGACACACTCACACCCAGACACACCTTCCAGCTGGAGATCTGACCCTTGGCCTGTGAGCAAAGATCTCTCTCTGGGGCACTTCTGCCCCAAGGCCTGTCACCCAGAAAGGAACCGTGTGTGCTCCTAGATCAGACAGCTCACTCAGAACCACACTGATGGAGACAATGAAGTATTCTCCTGGCTCCTATGAGTGTGCTATCCCACAAGCCAAGAGCCAGCTCTCATCAGTGAGAAGAGGCCAGGCATCTAGGACTTTCCTGGTGATCAAGCAGATAAGCATCTACCTTGCAGCGTGGGGGGACACAGGTTCAGTCACTGGTTGGGGAACTAAGATCCTACATGCCATGGAGTAACTAGAGCACCCACATGCCACAGCTGGAGAGCTAGCATGCCGCAGCAAAGACACCCGGGGCACCATGACCAAGACCCAATGAAGCCAAAATAACTATTAAAAAAAAAAAAAATGCCAGAGGCTGTTTAGTAAAAGCATCCCTTTCCCAGGAGAGTCAGAGGCCTTGCCAGGGTTCCCGGTCACGGAGCCCCAAGCGCAGAGGTCTCACCATGTCTTGAAGGGTCGAGAACTCCATCTCCGACTGGTTTGAGGCAACCGACCGGACCTCGGAGTCCTCCAGCTTGGCTCCTGCTACAGAAAGCCTGAGGTGAGCCTGGCGCAGGACCCACGCGGATCTGGACTGGCTCCACACACGAGAGCAGTAAGGCCAGGGTGTCAAGAAGCCACTGTCCGGCCGGCACCACACATACCAAACTCCTCCTCCCCGTCGTCTCTCAGGAGCAGCAGCTCTGGGTCCAGGGCCATCTCACACAGGTCCTCGGACGCCTCGCCCCGGGGCTTCTCTTCATCTTCTCCCCCAGAAGACGGGGGTTTCGGCAAAAGCCCATCTTCCTTCTAGGAGAAGCAGACCCAGATGATGAGGAGAAGAGCTGCCCCTGGAATTTCCCACCGTAACAACGGTTAACGTTTCCACATCGGCCGTCTTCAGGCAATGGGATAGAGGCTTGCGTGCAGTGTCTCATCTAATGTACCCCGTTACACGGGTCGCAGGGCCGGGCAGGGCGAGTCCCAGACACCCGGGGTGCTCCTCAGGAGTCAAGCCCAGTCCCATAAGCAGCCTGCTTGCTTGAATGTATTTAGGCAAGAAGCAGACCCATGGACTTTAGAAACAGTTAAAAAAATGCAGTGTTGTAGTTAACCATAGGGTCATGGAAACACCTGCACCCATCAAAACACTGCCATGAACACACGTCCATGGCAACCTGGCAACCACGCTTCCCTTCACGAAGCTCCAGGCCCTCCTCCCTTCTCCCAGGCGCTTCACCTCCGAGCTGTGTGGCCATACAGCAGAGTTACATGCCCGTGCCCAAGTCACACCGGGGTCAGTAGGCACACGCAGTGTGTGGGGTAGAGACAGCAAAGGCACTCTGCGCTCCAGCTCTGCGGCGCGTCAGGACCTGCAGCCCCCGTGCCCGCACAGAGGGCGGAGATACTCACCGGCGGGGCGTCTGCCTCCACAGCTGTGCCCTCACTCTGTACCTCATCCTTGGGCTCCTTGGCCTCCTCCTTGACCGCTGCTTCTTCCTTGGCTGCCTCCTCCTTCTCAGGCTCAGGTGGGGCCACGACCTTTTCAGGAAGGCTCAGGAGCGTCTTATAAATCCTATAGCCAAAGTCCCTCTGCAGCATCTCCAGAAACAGCTCAGCCAACACCGTGGCCTGGTGGCGGAGGTGGTGGGAGGCCATGAGCATCAGGACAGGGAGTGTTCCAACCCCATCACCCCCTACCACCCCAGAGTCGCCAGCTCCTACACCTGCCTCAAAAGAGATCCTTTCCTTTGGCCTCCGGTCCTCCACGATGCTTTGCAAGGACAGGTTTACACAGCGGGAGCGTGCCATGACAGCTGGTTCCAGAGGGGGTGGGGGGGCCTCTGGGAGGTCAGTGTCCACTTCCTGCTGCGCAGTGACCTCCGGATTCTCGGCACTCTGCTTAGAGGTGTCTGCTGCTTGCTCCGACCCATCAGCTGACTGCTCTGTCGGCTCTGTTTCCTGGGGCAGAGGTCAAGGTCTATGACCACCTGGGTCCCAGGGTTCAGGTACCTACCTCCCTCAATGGTTCGTAAGCCTTGGCCTCACCACTGGCACCTCCGGGGGCGGGGGAGCTGCCTCTGCGGCCTTCTGCTGGCACAGGGCCTCCCACTCCTCCAAAGTGGGCATGACGGTCCAGATGTCCGGCAGGTACACCACCACGGTCTGCAGCCGCCTCGGCGGTCCCGCCTGCAGGTACTGAAACTCAGCAAAGCGCCACCTGCTCACAGTGAAGGAACAGTGAAGTGCTGACCCGTGACATTCACAAGTGAGTGCTTCAGTTGCCAGTCAGCATTTAATGAACATGTACCGCGGGCCAAGCTCTAAAAGATACAGCCCAAGTCCTCAAGAAATGGTCCACGGGAAGAGACAGGTAACCCGACAGTTATTATCCGAGGTGCCATGGCAATAAGGATCTCGGAATGTGGCTGGGGACCACACCTGACGAGCCTCGGGGGGTCAACTGGCTCTCAGCACACTTACACATCCCTAGCCATGCTCAGGACTATGGCATGCTCCACTAGCAGGGCTGGAGCCAGGAGATGAGCAGGGACGAGGGACCTGACAGAAGCTGACCGGTCAGAAAGGCCAAGCAGAAGCCTGGCCTCTGGCCTGGTCTTAGCCGCTCGGCGGTGCCCGTGGGCGAGCTCGGCAGCCACTCACCACTTGGTGCAGGCGCTCAAGTCGATGCCAGTCTGGGCCTGCGCGCAGCGCGTGGCCGTGCGGACAAGCACCTGCGGGTCACCCTTGGGGTCGAGGCCATCCAGCGAAGGAGACCACTCGCCCCCCACCAGCACTGCCTCATCATCCTTCCAGCCCAGCAAAAACTGCAGAGAGAGACCAGGGTAAGACACGAGAAACCAATCATCTGGGCCTCCCACTGGGAAACCACCTGCCACCTCTGGGGAAGAGAGTCTGCCACGCTGCACGTGGCGGGGGCTCTCTACTCGTGAACCTGAACCCCACGTGAATCTGGCAGGACCATCTCTGGGCCACACCATGCTCCTGGCAGAATGACTGGCATCTCAACTCTGTTTCTTTGCGCTCATGAGCAGTATCTCAGCTGACAGGGACTGACCACTGTCAGTGACTGTGTCTTGCCTCCTGGGCTCCGGCTCTTACTTTAATTTGCTTCAGAGGGTGTTCCGGGGTCTCCCGTGGCTCAGCCATGTCATCCACGAAGAGCATGCAACAACGATACAATTCCTCCAGTCCCGGGGAGGAGAGCAGCAGTACCTGGTAGGGACGGCGTGAAGGAGACACTCGAGAGCTTCCTCAGCCCTCAACAAGGGGATCAAGTGGCAGGACCCCAGCCAACTCACCTTGGAACTGTAGGCGGCGTCGCTGTCTGTAGGGGGGAGCTCTGCACCAGAATCAGCAGCTGGCTCCTTCTCTGAAGATACCTGGATGCGGCTTGGATGATGGAGAGAGAAGGGCTGGCTCACGGGGAAGGCCGACAGCCAGCTCAGATGCACAGCCAGGAAATCTGAGGGAACCAGGAGGGTGCGGTAACGGCGCTGGAGTTCTAAGAAATCAAAGACGGGGCTGTGGGGAGAAAGCAGGGAGTTCCAGGTTGAGCAAAGACGACGTGTTTTTTGTTTTTTGTTAATGGAACCATAAAAAAGACTTGAAAGAAAATGGAAGCGAATTCTTTTATAATATGAGAAAAAAGTTTTCTAAGGAAGATCACCTCTGAAGAGAAAAAAATGGATCAGATTTGACCACTAAAATGCTACCACCTCTAGTTCCAAAACAAAGTCAACCTAGGGAAGGGAAAAAAGACATTTACAATATATGACAGCAAAGAGTCTTTATCTTAAATATAAAAGGAACCCACAAATCACTAAAAAAAAAAAAAAAATCACTTTTAAGAGAAAACTGGAAAAACTGATAACAGATACTTAGAAAAAGGAATGAGACCGAAGAGCTCAGTATCACTCATAATTAAAGAAACTCAAATCAGGGTATCCCTTTTCACCTACTGGACTGCAGAGAGCACGAAGCTGGCTAACACAGTGTCGGCCAAGGCTGGGGGTGCAAGTGCCTCACAGTTCATCTGAGAAGGTGAGCTGCCACAGCCTCGGTGAGAAGCCTTCAAGGTTTACAGACCTCTAAGCCAGCTACTCCATTTCTAGGAACTGAGCTCAATAAAATGCTTGCACCTGTCCACAGACATGTCCAGAGAAGAACATTTATTATTACAAGATTTAGAATAACTGCAGATTAAAAATGGAGACCTGGTTCAATAAATTCTGGTCCATCCACTTAGCCGTGGTGTTGCTAAGAAGAATGAGATCAGTCTAACAAACATTAATGTGGAATAAATCCCAAGATAAGTGAAAAAGCAAAGTGCCGAATAGTAGGTACAGCAGGCTTCCACTTGTGATTTTAAAAAGATAAACAGCTGTGTGTGTGGCTAATCGTGAGCAGTGTCCTGACCACTCGAGATGCACCCTCCCACAGTGGTGGTGAGGGGACCAGGGTCTCCTGAGATCCCCCTGGGAGGCAGGTGGGTCACCGCGGAGAGTACGAGGCACGCTCTGGGCCTGGGGAGGAAGCGGGGCAGCCCTCCCTGCCTGCCTGTCACGTGGAGGAGGTGCTGAGAAGCCGCCCGCACTTCCACTTGGACGAAAGTGGGTCTGCCCTGGGGGCTTCTAACACAGCAGCTGGAGCCCTGCATCTCCTCTCCTAGCTGGCATCCGGGATCACTCATCTACTCAGCTTCTACGTGAGAGAAGAACGCTTGTGTGGGGGCAGCGACCTCATACATGCCGTCGCACTCAAGAAATCATTCAGAGCTTCCCTGAGAAGCCAGTCGCAGGGTTCCCATGACCCACAGTTTCCACCTGATATATAAGTGGTATTGGGCACCTGGATTTTAATTGGGACACCACAATTATAGCCTGGCACAACAACTTCTGGTGATTAAATCATAAATCAGTGGTGCTCTGCTGGTCTGAATTTGAGATTCTGAAATAAATCTGTCACATTAAAAAACAAAAATGAAGCGAGCAAAAAGGTCACAAGAATACAGATACACAATTACTTCCAGACTGTATCTCATTTACACAAGAAAAATGTTACCAGCTCCAAGTCTCACCCCCAGCACAGCCTCCCCACTCACCTGTCCACAGCATAGGGAGTGAGGTGGACCCGGTAAGGAGGGAGGTCATGCCGCGGTTTCTTAGCGCCCCAAGGCTCTCCACCAGCTCGCTGTTTGCGCTTCTTGGAGTCATAGTCATCACTGGAGGTTGATTCATCACCAGAAGGAAGAAACCACACTGTTAAATACAGCTTCAGGACATGCTGGCCTAAAAAGAGCTGGAAACCATCTGAATCCTGAACTTTAAAGAAATGGATAAATAAGCCATACTAACAACCTTGTAAGAGACTGTTATTAAAGATATTAAAGTACATATTTAAATGCTTTAAATAACACAGAAAACCATGTTAAACAAAAAGTACAGTATGGAACACTGTATAGACAATAGTGCCTCAAATGAGCAAAAACAGCTTTAAAAGACTGAAAGAAAAGAAAATGGTGGATGCTGCTGATAAAGCTGATAAATAATTTTTTTACATTTTTACAAACATTGTAAGTTACAGCTAACATGTAATTTTTTTAAATGAGAGAAAACTTTTTTTCTTTTTTTAACAAGAGATACATATATGGTACCATGCTATGGGTTCTATCAAGTTTAATTAAGAGAGACAGATCTGGTAACAAACCCTTGAAAAAAGTGAAGTGAAAGTGTTAGTTGCTCAGTCATGTCTGACTCTCTTGCAACCCCATGGACTGTAGCCCACCAGGCTCCTCTGTTCCGTGGAATTTTCCAGGCAAGAATACTGAAGTTGGTTAGCCATTCCCTTCTCTGGAGGATCTTCACAACCCAGCAATCAAACCTGGGTCTCCCACATTGCAGGCAGATTCTTTACCATCTGAGCCACCAGGAAGCCCAACAAACCCTTAACCCTACACATTTAAATCATGAAAATTCATTAATCATATAGCCGTTAAAAACAGTTCTGAGCATTACTCTGCAATATGGAACACATGTTCAATAAGAATATATTAAAAAAATCTGAACTTAGGTTAAAATTATAAAAACTATGCTTATATATATAAAGACTAGAAAAGAACACTGGGGAAAAAAGTGACAGGAAGGAAATTTGCTTTTCTAAAGGTCTTTAAATATAAGAATGGCTACCTTGGAGACAGGGGGATGGAGGGAGAAGAGCAGGAGACTAAGAGGTCCAAACTACTACATACAAAATAAACAAGATACAAAGGTCAGGTGTGACACGCAGCACCGGGGTTCTGGCCAGTGTTTCACAGCAGCTTTAAGTGGAGTATGAGCTACAGCAGCACATGGCCTTCCCTGGAGCCTGACTGCTGTGCTGTGCGCCTGACACCGACGCAACACTGTGAGCCAGCGGACTTTAACCAGAACGCTTCTAAACGCTTCTAAACCTCTAAGGGAAAGAGGGGATGATAATTTTTCTAGTATTTTAACTTTATATAATATCATACACTACATTTTTGTAATAAATCACTTATTACAGTACCACTATGTTATGGTGCAAGCAATAAAAACAGTAGAAAAGAAAAAAACCTTTAGACCATTATAAAATGCCAGACTGATAAGGGTGAAAAAAAAAGCCCGTCTCACAAGGGAAATAAAATCAACTGTCAGTTCTTTGTGCTGAGGTGCTGCTGAGCTGGTCCCATTTATGTACCAGGTCTCCGCCCTTCCCTTCAGACCTGCCTGCGTTGCCTCCCCAGTCATTACTGGGGAAGCCCTGATTCACTCCCTCAGTTACACTCAATGCGGAGTTCTTCTCTTCTCACACTTCTGCCTGGGTAATGTCCTTCAGTATCTCCCTCCAAAAGCTGCCTTCTAATCTTGCCCTTGTGGGAGACCAGTGCTTCTGTGTCTCTAACAGAAGAACTGCTCCAAAGTCATTTCGAAACTCTCTTCAGCTCACCCGTGACTGAAGTGAGCTCTTCAGTAAAGGCTGTCAACCTCAAGTTGAAGTGCATGTTCCACTGAATCCTGTAATCTTTATTGTCAATTGTCAGGAAGAGACTATAAAGCACGGACAGTGGAAGCCATCTTGGTAACTTCAGCAGGACACTGAGATGGTCTACCCAGCTGAGTAGCCTTGTCTAAACCCCTCAGTAGTTCAGCGTTAGCAATCCAAAGGAGACACTGGTTTCTACCTCCCAAAACCTGAAGTTCAAAAAGAAAGCCTGGTTTCCAGTCAAACACTAAGATGACTGACTCAGTTATAAACAGCTGCTCCCCCAGAGGGTGCCCTCATTGCTACTGCCCCCTCCCCTACTCTGCAAATCCCTTCTACAGATTCTTGGTAGTACCCCACTCCCAAAAGGCATGTCTTCTATCTCGAGAGGCCATGACACTGAAGCATTATGGCCAGAGTAACAGAACACAGAACTTGCACAGGGTTTGGCGTGTCCTGGACAATCAAATGCTACTGGCTTTACAGGAAGGCTGAATTTGAACCTAAAGCAAAAAGTCAATAGCAGCCATTGATCCACCCAGGCTACATTATCCCGGAGGGCACCTGCTGTCCTCCGTCTATAATGAAATCTTTAATAATCTCACAGAATGGGAGAGTTGGAGAGTCCTTGGAAACTGAAGACCAAGAAGATGCAGAGGACAAGAGGTGCGGGTGTATGCGAATTATGTGCCAGTAACTGTTTTAAGCAGTGGAGATGCAGTGGAAAAAAATCCTACACAGTCAGAGCTCCCCACTCCCAACAAAGTTCCCAATGACCTACCCTGAGGCAACACACAGTGGCTTCAGCGGACCAGCTACATCACTTTGCTTAAAGCTTCTTCTCTGAGGAACTCCATGCCCCTTTACATGTTTGCAGTAGACTGCATTCTTAGTCCTTACTTACTAGTAATAATCACTGGCTTCTGGGAGAAGAAGCGGTTTCCTTCTGAGAACAGTCCTCATTTCAGAACAGAACCAGAACATGAGAACCCTTTCTGGAGTGATGGACATATTCTGTATCTTAAAAGGGGTGAGAGTCACATGGGATTTTTCATTTGTCAAAACTGCCCATCTAAGATCTGTTCACATCAGCCTACATAAATTTTACCTTAAAAAAAGTATAAGGCAGATGAAAAAGAATGGCAGACACTGATACCTGTTGAAGCTGGGTGATGGGTATATGAGGGTTCATCATCCTTTTCTACTTACTATGCTTATACTTGAAAATTTCCATAATAAAAAGTTTAAAAGAAGACTGACAGAAAAAACTTGGAACATGTCTTCAACAAACTGGCCTAGAGCGTAACGTGTAGGAATAGAAATAAAGACTTTTAGGCAGGGTAAGGCAGGATCAGAACATGTGAGCCAGACAAGACAGGGAACATGCTCCTGGTGGTCCCCAGGGATCGCAGACGATGGGGACACATGATGGCCCAGAACGCCCCAAAGGCCCAAGGCCACCACGCCTGCTGCACACGAGGCCACGTCTGCATGTCCACGGCACAGGATTTCTGGACAGAGTGCAACATACATACTCTATCACATCACTGACTTCTGTGGTGTATAGGAAGAAACATGTTTTATACTAAGAATTAAATCATGCACTACAAGAAACTAAAAAAAAAAACCAACCAAAAAAACAGAAACAGACTCAAAGATATAGAGAACGAACTAGTGGTCACCAGAGCAGAGGAGGTTGTGGGGGAACAGGAAAAACAGGTGAAAGTGAAAGTCACTCAGCCATGTCCAACTCTTCGTGACCCCACGGACTATATATATACAGTCCAGTCCAGAATACTGGAGTGGTTAGCCTTTCCCTTCTCCAGAGGATCTTCCCAACCCAGGGATCCAACCTAGGGATCGAACCCAGGTCTCCCTCATTGCAGGCGAATTCTTTACCAACTGAGCCACCGGGGAAGCCCAAGAATACTGGAGTGGGTAGCCTATCCCTTCCCCAGCAGATCTTCCCAACCCAGGAATCAAACCGGGGTCTCCTGCATTGCAGGCGGACTCTTTACCAAAGGAGCTATGAGGGAAGCCCTAATACAGGTGAAGGGGGATTAAAAGGTACAAACTTCCAGTTATAAAGTAAGTTAAGTCAAGGAGATGTAATATACAGCATAGATGATATAATCACTACCGTAATAACTCTGTAGAGTAACAGATAGTAACCAGCTATTGTGGTAATCATCTCGTAACACATAAAATATCCAATCTACTGGTATAATACTGTAAATTATGCTTCAGTTAAAAAAATACACTGCAAAAAAAAAATCTTTTGGACACTACTATTTTCTTCAGTTTTGATTCTTGGTGTCCCAATCTTAGGGACTAGAAATAAAAGAGAAAATTATATATTAAAAACAAATTCAGTGTGATATTTTGAAAGATGAATTATGCCAAATCCCTACTTGTTGAACCAGCTTATAAAGTTCCAATGTTTCTCAATGTGTCAGCCTATCTCAGGGTAAAAGGACTAGGATCTAGCTGCACAAAGAAAATGTTAGTGTCAAGAAGTGACCCAAAAAAGGGGGGGGGAGGGGGGCACATTCTCTTAGAGGCAAATAAGTGAAGCACCTTTCCTGCTTGATCATCTTACCTTCGGCCCTGATCCAATCGTCCATGAGGGCCCCGAGCAGGAAACCTGTTCAGGTGGCTCAGATGAAGTGTGTGGGATGTTTGGAAGAGACTCAGAGCTGCAGAAAGGAAATGGATGGTGACTCAAAACACCTAAATATTTGCCCAACTCTCCTGTCCCCTTCTTTTAGTCCCCACTTCTACTCTAAGAGCAACAACCTCGAGTTACAAGTCCATTCATCCAGAGTACTCCATAAAGCCACACCCCCAATATCCATGCCACTGGTACTCACGCTTCTGAGGAAAGAGTGGGGGAATCCGGTGAGGCTGAAAGATCAGCTGGGGCTGAGCTCCCAGAATCCCTTGCTTCTGGCCCAGGGCTGCCACGTGTAGAAGGGGAGGTGCTGGGGACTTCAGTAGGGGCTGCAGGACAATAACCAGGAAACTCAGGGCACCCCATGGCTGAAGTGCTCACTACCTTGGAAAGATGCGGCCCTACCCCCTTGACCAAAGAAAGGTTCCTGTCCATCTTTCTGGGCACCAGGGTGTCCCTCCTACCCCTTTCCAATGCACATGCTGAGGAGAGATGAATACCTGGTTGGAGAGCGTTTGCACCTTGACAGCATTCCAGGGAACTGCCTGACCCGGGTTGTATGCAGCCTTCACCAGCACCTTCTCACCCAGCTGGGGCAGCCGGCCCTTCACCACACTGCCAGCACACAAGCCAGGAGACCCAGTCAGGAGAGAGACCCTGGCCACGCCACCCTGACTGTCCCTATGAGGCCCTTCCCATCAAGATTGCTCACCCCTTGCCTAACAGCAAAGCAACGTCTTTAAAAGGACCCACCAGCATGGTGACAGAACCAAATCCCGTAAGCATTTCCAGGAGGGGACCGGCCTCAGCCTACCTTAGCTGAAAAAAGACTTCTTCATCCACCACCCCAAAGTAGTCGTGCAAGCTGGTGACAATGCCAGTGAAGACCCGCTGCTTCTCTCCACCCTATATGAGAAGGGTGCAGTTTAAAGGTAAGAGGGAGCATCTATCCATGCTCTGCGATTAGCATCTCATCTTTCTCCACCCCTCCAGCCCCAGCTCAAAGTACTGCACGGAGCTTCCTGTGGAAGGAAGCACACGTGTCTAGTGGACATAATCTACTGAAAGTGGGGGGAGTCATGCTGATTCTTGGGCCCTAAGCTTCTTCTAGGATCCCCAGTTCTTCTTTAACTCCAAAAAGCACCCTACAGATTTCCCTGGAATCAGAACCAAGGACTTCCCAGTCAGAGAGGTCTAAGTTACCTCTGGACTGGCTGACGATAGTGTCAGGAAGGATGAACAATGTCATATAAGAATGAATGCATCGGACAACCATGCATGCTGAGGTCCTCCCAAGTGCTGAAACTCACTAGACAGAATGCCCAGCTTACCTGAAGGTGCCTGGCATTTTGGGACAGGTCTGTGGCCACAGGAGGAGTCAGCAAACCAGGAGGAGGGCCCAGAAGGGATGTGGAAGCTGCGCCTGTTGGAAGAGAAGCGATCCAGGAGCTGCACCTACCATGGTAAGCACTAGAGTCTGCTAGAGCAGACAGGAAACCCAAAGGGTAAAGTGGATCCACACAAGTTCCAACAGCGTTTTGCTCACAACCACAGTGGTCATCGTCTAGTTTCCTAAGAAACATCAGCAGCAAACTGCACTCCACCAGGGAAACCCCTGGTATATTTCAAGACTATCTTCTGTTAAAGACTAACTTCAAACCACATACTTCCCAATGTGGGGCCAGGTAGAGATAAAGGTGATCACCTGAGAAGTTGCGTCCCCCTGGAAGCGGGTTGATCCGCTGGCGCTTAAACTGGGACATTGGGAATGCTGTCCTCTTTCAGAGTCTTGGGGAAAAACCTTCAATCAGAAAAGAAATAAATTAACAATTCACAGGGAAGATTTTCCACCAACCCCCCAAAAAGGAACTAAGGATATGAAGGAAAGTGGGGAAGTGTACACTGAGAATGAATAGGGAAGACAGATGGAGAGAACAGGAAATGGACCAGGAAATAAGAGAAATTACAATGCTCCAGTTTCCCTCACAATAACCTAGTGATGGGTAATACTGTTATACTCTTTCAAACAAAAGGAAACCGAAGCTCGGAGGGACTGACACTTGCCCGAGGCACAGAACCAGGTACGTAAAAAACTAGGACTCACACCCAGGTCTCCCGACAACTCAGCGCTCCTCTCACTATGCCACGCCACCCTCAGATGATTGGGGAGAGTGAGGGATTAGAAAGAGCCCCGGTGACATTCATTCATTCAAATACATCCGCCAAAAAGCTCCACGCAAGGCCCGGAAAAATGGAGGAGGCTGGTGCCGGAGAGGAGATGGTGTAGGCCCTCTCCCCGGAAGCCCGGCCCGTTGTTCCCCGGACGGGCTGGTGAGAAGACAGCTCCGCGGCCAGGCGAACGCAAATCCGGCTGCGCGCCCGCCCTCCTGCTCCCCCGCTCCCCGTGCCTCGGCTCCCGTCTCAGCGGCTGCCAGAGCTGGATCTGCCGGGCCGGGCCGCGGCCAGGCCGCCGTGGGAGGACGAAGGCGCGCGGTTTCTCCTCCTCCCGCCCGCCCCCAGGGCCGAGGCCGTTGCCAAGGAGACGAGACTTGCAGTCCGGAGAGGGGCTCGGCCCCTTCCGCGCCCAGTGCATCTTCGCGGCCTGGCTCTCGCAGCCCCTCGGCCGGGGGAGGGGCAAAAAGGCAGAGGGGCGGCGGAAGGCCCCCCCAACCCACCTGCGGGCCAGGGCCGCGACACCGGGGGGACAAAGACACCCGGAACCACCAGAGCCGCTGCTGCCGCCGCCACCGGAAGCGCCTCTCCGGAAGCACGACCACTGGTCGGAAGCTGCCACTCTCCCGGATATGCTCCCTCCCTCCTCTCCACCGACCTCTCCCTTCCCCCACACCGGCCTGCCATCCCGCTCCAACTGCGCAGCGGAAGTGCGCCTTCCCCGATCGGATATGCGTTAGGAAGCCGCGCGTCGGTGGTGCCCTCGCTTACGTGTCCCATGAGAAAAGCAGACTTGAGAGAACTGGTTCCTGGGCCAAAGACAGCTTGAGCTGGACCCTCAAACATAAAGCAGCACCTATGCTTCATTCTGGCGGGCCCCCAAGCCGGGAGCAGCAAGAGAACCAGCTGACTGGAGGAGGAGGATGCATGATCAGTTTCTATAGACATCCTTGTATCTGACTCAACCAGTGACCCCATTTCTAGCCCTACCCTTCGTTGAGGGCACCCCCCCCCCACTTACACGTCCCATCTTCTGGGTGCCTGCAGGAGACCAAACTTTCCCCCCTTCTCAATTAACGGAGCTTGGAACCTAAAAGGTGTGAAATGGAATAGTTCCTCCCATATTGGTGCCCTGACTACGGTGACTATGTCCTCCTCCCATAGAAAATACTTTCCTCCCTCTATTTCCTCCCTCAGGAAAATACTTTCTGAGCCCAGGTGGAATACCAGCTATCTGGCAGCCATCATCCACTTAGCCCCTTCCCTGGTAAATGCTGAGGAGCTGGGGGCAGGGGGCAGGTGTGTGCAAGAAAGAGCAAGAGGCAGCCACCCACCACATCCCCCACTCCCTAAGCTGAAAGGGGACTTAAAGATGTCAATGATCATGCAGCAGGACTTGGCCCCTGATAGCTGAGATGCACATAAAAGGAATAAATTCAGGGAGCCCAGACGCTTGCAGCTTCCCATACATAGACAAGTGCTAAATTTCTTGATTTGAGATACTTAGTTTTCCTTAATTAACAATAAACTTTTGTTCAGACCCCCATCCCCTGCTGCAAACTTATATATAACCTGACTCTTCCCCTCACCTCCTCAGAAAGAGTTCTCTGAGAAGATGCTGTCTCCAAGGCTTGAAGTCCTAAAAATTCCCACAGAATAAAGGTCTGTTAGGTTGCGTGTATTTTTTCAATCAACACAAGTGATAATAGTAAGATAAACCTTCACAATATTTAGGTATACATTTACAAAGAATTCTCACAGTCGTTTTCTTTAGTCCTCACATCAACTCTTGGGGAATGAGCAGGTCAGGTGTTAGTGTTCTAATTCTCAGATGTGATACGTGAGCGACTCAAATGACGCGCTCAGTCTTGCCACTAATCACTGACCATTTTAGTCCCCATTAGCAATCCCAATTCCCCCTTATCCTCTGACCATCATCCCTCCAGTCTAGCCTCCCTCCAACCCCCTTTCCTATTCATTTAACATTCACCAAGCATTTTGAGGCAGCTTAATTTCACTTTATCCTCAGAACAAGTCTGTGAGGTAGGCAAGGCAGGCATCGTTATACCATTTGGGAGATTAAGTGGGCAGCTGTGGCTCAGAAAAGCTAAGCGATTTTGTCAAGGTCTAAATGCTAATTTGGGCCTCTGGTTTCAGCTATGATGTAGGTAAGCAGTAAAGCAGCAGAGAACAGACCTTGAAGATTACGCTGCTGTTCCTTGTGTTGTACTTGACCCTCCCATCCCTGGTGCAGTCTTCATGCAAGATTCAAGGCAGAGGCAGCCAAGAGAGTGCCATTCTCTGTTCTAGAGCTGCCCACTTGAGTGTGAGGAAGAAGACAGGACTCCAGATCAGTAACTGTCCACTCAGGAGTGAAGGTCATGTCCATCATCCTGTGGTTACCTCACCATGAGGGCAGGATTCCAGAGAGACAGCTGGATCCAGTCCGTTCACCACACTGACGGTCCCACAGTCCCCAGCAACACGCTGGGTGCCGAGAGATCACTGTGCCTAACACGCCCCATGGATGCCCCATGAATCAGTGAGGTTCACATTGCCTAAGCCCAGGGATTTTTGGCAACCAAGGAGGAGCCCCAGAGCTGCTACACTTTGGGGCCTCTGGGGGACCCAGGGCTCCTTGGCTGCTCAGAGGAGAAGGACTCAGCCCTTGCCTGAGTTCAGAGAGAAGACAGAGCATCCACAGCTTTTTCTGGCAGCGCCCAGAAGCAGCATCAGGGCAGCCGGCGAGGAGACCTCACTGCACTTGCCCCACCGGGGTCCCGTCCCTGCACCAGGAGGCCTAGTGTGCAGAGGGGTTTTTGTCTTGTTTCTTCTTAACCACTGATGATGGCATAAAGGTCTTCTGGAGGGGATGGCCCAGAGGCCTTTCAGGGAGGCCCCTCAATGCAATCCTGTGGAAAAAGGAAGGAAGCTCTAGACTAGGGGGAAAAAACAAAGGTAATGATGGCAGACTTCCGGGATTAAGAATCCGCCTCCTCAGGGCAGGAGGGGGTGGGGAATGGGGAGGAGGGATAGTTAGGGAGCTTGAAAAGGTCATGTACACACTGCTATATTCAAAATGCATAACCAACAAGGACCTACTGTACAGCACACGGAACTCTCCTCAGTGTTATATGACAGCCTGGATGCGAGCAGGGATTGGGGGAGAATGGATACAAGCATGTGTGTGGCTGAGTCCCTTTGCTATTCACCTGAAACTACTAAAACATTGTTAATTGGCCATGAAAATGAAGGTGGTAGTCACTCAGATGTGTCCGACTCTTTGCGACCCTATGGACTGTAGCCCGCCAGACTCCTCTGTCCATGGGATTTCCCAGGCAAGAATACTGTAGTGGGTTGCCATTCCCTTCTCCAGGGGATCTTTGTGACCAGGAATTGAACCCAGGTCTCCTGCATTGCAGCAAGGCTCTACTATCTGAGCCACTAAGGAAGCCCTGGCGAAGACTGACAGGGATATCACCAGTGTTGCAATATAGCCATGGAATAATCAGTTATATCCCAACACAAAATAAAAAGGTTTTTAAAAAAAAAAGAATCTGCCTACTACTATAGTGGACATGAGCTCCATCCCTGGTTTGGGAAGATCACACAGTCTGCAAGGCAACTAAGCCCATGCGCCCCAACCACTACAGCAGGTGTGTCCTGGAGCCTGTGCTCAACAAAGAGAAGCCAGCACAGTGAGAAGCCCACACACAACAGAGCAGCCCCCGGGGGCACGCTAGAGCAAGCCCGAGCGGCAACAAAGATCCAGCACAGCCTAAACTTCATCTTAAAAAAAAAGTAATGATGGCCCCAGAGTTGACCACAATTGTGCAAAGCCTAAGGATATTAACTGATGGGGCTAAGCCCCGCTGGAAAGTTATTCCATGAAGACCCTCATCCCCAGCACCCACTGTGGCATTCTGTATGCACTACCTTGCTTTCCTGGGGAAACACAGGGAGGTGACCTAAGTTTCAGCTTTGAGGGCTGAGGGCTTGCTGGGTTCACATGATGATTTCCTATCTTTTGGTCCTGGCTCTGCCACTGGCTAGCCATGTGGCCTCGGGAAGATGACTTCCCTCCCCAGCCCAGTTCTCAGCCTCCTCATCTATAAGTGGGGCTTTTTAACTACTTTCTGTTTCTTCCCGCAACCTCTCCAAGACTTGTTGTTTAGTTGCTCGGTTGTGTCCAACTCTGTGACCCCATGAACTTTAGCCCATCAGGCTCCACTCTCCATGGGATTCTCCAGACAAAAATACTGGAGGGGGTTGCCATCCCCTTCTCCAGGGGATCTTCCAGATCCAGGTATCAAACTCGGGTCTCCTGCATCACAGGCAGATTCTTTACCGCTGAGCCACCAGGGAAGCCTTCTCCAAGACTGCCTCTCTCAAATTTTGCAGGGACAAAAATAACAACTGGCAGCACCACCTCAGCCTCCTAGCTCATCAGGCTCCTCCTTCTGCCCTGCGCCGGGCAGGGTCCCAGGACTCACCTGGGTGCTGAGTCACAGGACTCACTGGGGACAGGACCGTCGGCAGAGGTGGCAGGTTCAGCAGGTCGAGGGCTGCCCCACCTGATCCGGTTGAGCAGCACCTTGACTTTGTTCCAGTGGGAGCGATCCCCCTGAGCAGAGGGTGAGGGGGTCACCCAGGGTCCCTCTTCACAACATACCCCTGACCAAGCTCCCACAGATAGTTGTCACCATAACCAGGACACACCTGCTCCAAATAGGAATCCTCTCATATTCTAGCTTTCAGGGTATCCACACATCCCAACCATCCCACCCCCATCCCATCCTGTCACCTGGCCCCACAGATCAGTTCAGTCACTCAGCTGTGTCCGACTCTTTGCGACCCCATGGACTGCAGCACACCAGGCTTCCCACTGCAGCAGGCCAGGCCCCACATATATCCCTCACCTACCTTGTGTTCCTGGTAGGATGAGAAGGTGTGAGCTGGCTCCGCCAGGGCCTCTGACAGCCTGGGAGGGCTGGCACTGGGCGCCCCTACCTTTGGGGGTGAAGCTGTTTTTGCTCCTTCAGAAAGATAATCCGGTTACCCCAGGCAAGGAACAGCAAGGCACTCATCAAGCCCAGAGTTCAGGCGGTCTGCCTGTGGGGCCCTGGGCGGGCAAGATGCAGAGGGAGATGCAGTTGGCGCTCACCTGTCTCCTCTGTCTGGCTGAGCCATCCCCACGGCCCGTGCACCTCACTGTCTGGGGCGGCAGAAGGCGGAGGGGAAGGCGCCAGGGCTGTCTCCTCCTCCTCTTCAGAATCCTGTGCACAGGAGAGACGAGCTCTCTGGGCCTGGCTAGAGGGCTGAGGCTGTTCTGAAGGGAGTCCTGGTTTCAGGGGTCCCACCGATCCTCTGCCTCCCCCACTCACCTGCCCACCAGCCAGCCTGCCCACCCACAGCTCACTCACCCCAGGGCCCCTCTGAGTCTGAAGCTGCAGACAGAGCCGCTGTAGATTTGCCACCTGCTCCAGCACCAGGCACAGGTGTTCCAGATAGCGAAGACCCTGCCCCGGAAGGCCAGGGCAGGCTTCAGGCCCTAAGCCCTCCACCTGTGGGACACAGTGAGATCAGGCAGAATTCTGAATCCAGCCAGACTCCCACCCGCATCTACTGGCGGCAAAATAAGTAAGAGGAGGAACACACACCCAGCTGGTCACCCCGTGCCCAACCAGGCAAAGGGCCAAGTAGGCCCCAAGCCCTGCTCATCTCGACACAGCTGGGGGTGGGGAGTGAGGTGAGACATCCCATCCAACCCATCAATTAGAGGCAAGGAATGCCCTGCCCCGGCTTCCCTGGTGGCTCAGATGGTAAAAAGTCTCCCTGAAACGTGGGAGACTCAGGTTTGATCCCTGCGTTGGGAAGATCCCCTGGAGAAGGGAATGGCAATCCACTCCAGTATTCATGCCTGGAGAATTCCAGGGACAGAGGAGCCTGGCAAGCTGCAGGTGCCAGGGTTGTCTCCTCCTGCAGTTCATGGGGGTTGCCAAGAGTTGGACACCATTGACACACACACACACACACACACACACAGATACCCGCCTGAGAGAGTTCCAGGGAGAACAAGGCTGGGGCGGGGGAGGTCAAGGGGAGCCCATCTCCATCCACTCCAGTATTCATGCCTGGAGAATTCCAGGGACTCAGGGTTGTCTCCTCCTGCAGTTCATGGGGGTCGCCAAGAGTTGGACACCATTGACACACACACACACACACACACACACACACACACACACACACACACACACACACACACACACGATACCCGCCTGAGAGAGTTCCAGGGAGAACAAGGCTGGGGCGGGGGAGGTCAGGGGGAGCCCATCTCCATCCCACCCTTGAGAGTTGGCACTTACCACCTCTGCTTGTTCCAGGCCATCCTGTGGATCACTCTCTGCCTCGGTGGCCTCCTGTCCCGTTGCTTCATAATGGGGCATTTCACACTCAGGCGGCAGCTCTGGGGAGTGGCAGTGTGACAAGCTGGCAGAGGGAACGGAGAGCTTGTGGGAGCGCTCCAGCACCTGCTCCAACTTACGTCTGGCTAGAAGCCGGCTTAGGTGGGCAGGAGGCTCCAGGGCACCAAGGGCCAGGGACTCAGCGCTCCCCAGGGGCTCAAAGTTCAGAGAGTCTTGAGAAAAGCCGGGTGAGGTGGCCGGGGAGCTGTCCCCAACCGCCATCTCCACTCCTGAGTCCTGGGAGGCCAGTTTGAGAAGCGGCACCTGCGCCTGGGGATCTCTCAGCTGGTCTTGCCCCTTCCAGGAGTCTGATGAGCAAACTGGAGCCACATCTGGGATCTGTCTGTAGGTGCTGATGACTCCAGGCACTACACAACCATGTGCCAGGTCCTCACCAGCCCCATCTGCAAGGAGAGTCGGTCATCAGGCTGGGCCGGCTGCACCAACATTCCTGCAACTTGTGGCGTTCCCCGGGGAGGAGCGTCCTGGGTCAGAGGTGACAGGAGACCGGCGGACCACAGCCTCGTCCAGATATCTCTCCATCCGTCTGGGAGATTGGGTTAGGATGGGGGTCCCTTTTACAAAAGTAATTGTTAATGATATCTTCCTTTGAGGGGTGGTCGCTTGCTTCCAGGGAGCCCTTGCGCTCTGGCCCCTGAGGTCAGCCCAAGACCTCTGAGCTATCACTGGGGAACTGCAGCCTCTTCAACTGTGCCCCAAGGGGGAGTGTGATTGTGCCCCGGCCTCAGGGAGGGGGGAAGGACGCACAGAGGGAAGCGGGGTCTAAACTGGCATCAGGATGCAAGAGAAAGTCCATCCTGGAAGTCCTGGAGGGAAAAGGTACCAAAAATCACAATAGCCATAATCATTTTAGACTTTTGTTCTTTTAAGTGAGAAGCAGAAAATTTGGGAGTTGAAAAAAATTTGAACTGAGGAAAGGGAACCCAAAGGGTAGAAGGAGAAGCAGCGTGGTCGCCCAATCACTGTACTGTCTACAGCTCTCCTGGTCTGTGCCAGGCCCAGGAGTCCGATCGTAAAGATACAGAATTGGAGGTTGGAGGGGACGGAGGCCGGCCTTCTTCTCCGGCCTGCCGCACCTGGATGCCAAGCCAGGCCCCTCTGGGCAAGAAAGTTCACCAGGAAGTCTACCCCTGCGCGGCTCCTTTAGAAAGAGGTCTACCGCCGCAGAGATGAGGGCTTTTCTCGACCGCCGGCTGGGGCAGAGGCCGGGAGAAGGAGGATCCTGACCAAGAAATAAAGGTAAACGGACCCGGGGAAAATGGGATGGAGGTGACGATCGTTTTAACGCCAAAAGGTAAAAGGGTCTCCAACGTGCGGACGCGATACCGCTGGCCCTTCCTAAGGGAGGCGGCGAGGAGGGCGCACCGAGGTCGGGCGGGCTGCGCCAGGTGGTGCGGGCTCCGCCTGTGGGGCGGGGAGCGCAGACAGGGGCCAGGGCACGAGAGTTGGCTCCAGGCCAAAGGTCCGGGCCCGCCCCGGGGTGGGCGACTCACCCCGGCCGCCCAGCGGCTCCACGGCGAAGAGGCGCCGCCGGCCCAGCATGGCCCCAATCCGGCCCCAAAGCGGCGCCCGGGCCGTGGCCGCTGCAGCAGGAGCGAGCTATCACGGCCGTCGTCGCGGAGCCGCTGTCGGGCGGCCGGATAGGCTTGCGCGTCCTGACCCGGCAGGGCGCGGCCCCAGGATACTCCCAACCCGCATGGGGAAGAGGCGGAGCGGGGCGGGGTGCGCAGGTGTGCGACCGAGACGAGAGGGGCCGCGAGGGCGGGGCCTGGGCCCCCGGCCGGGTGTCGGCGGGGGCAGGGGGCATGGGTAAGGAGGCGGGCCCCTGGCTCCCTTGCCCAGCCGGCCTGGCCGAAGAGCAGGGACCCTGGCGGGGGACGGGGTCTCGTTCGTGGCGTGGGGTCACCCCGCCCACAGTTCCCAAGCCGAGTCTGTCTGTCTTCCTGCGGCCGAAATGAAGCCGGGAGAGACGGGGGGCGGCGACCGGACGCGAGCGCGGAAGGAAATGGATCAGCACGTGCAGGCGGTGGAAAAATCGCCGGCCAGGACGCCGGCGTCCGCGCGCGCCCAGTTGTGCGCCTTCGGGAAAGTCACTTAGCCACTCTGAAACCTGGCGCGACCAAAGGTGGAAGGCATTCTCGCCACAGAGGAATCCTTTCCAACAACTGCAGGGCGCCTTGGAACCTGGGCTAGAGCTGAATCCGGCGGGGGCGAGGGTGTGGTTCAGGGTCAGGAAAGTGAAACGGGGACCGGAGGGCAGCCCGGAGGTCTGGGAGTGTAGAGGCTCACCAGTCAGCCCCGCCGCTTTGAGTCCATGGAACTGCACCACCCTCTCCCGAAGGGGGGGGGTGGGGGCTGGGAGCGCCGGCAGCCACAAAAGCCGAGACAGCCTGGTGACCAGATGGCCTCTAAGGAAACCTCGGTCTCCTGAGGAAGGTCACCGGGGCTGGAAAAATCCCAGCAGGACCCAAATTCCCTGGAGGGAGATAAGGGAGCTGGCGGACGTGCAAGCTTGCACCTGAGCCTCTGGGGGTAGGGAGAGGGGCGGGCTGGAGCTGGAGGCGCTGGCTGCAAGTGGTAATTATCTGGGAGGGAGAAGACAGCCTGCCCACCCCCTGATTCCTCCTACCCTTCCTCCTACAGCCCCCGCAGGATCGGTCAGGAGTCAAAAACTGCATGACTCCAACTGTATAAGATGGGGAAACAGGCCTGCAGCGAAGCCCCACGCCCTCCACTCCCCCCCACACACACACCCCGGAACAACGAGAGCCCAAATTTACTCTTGCCACCTTGATTTTCAGGCCAGGCCCTTCCCTGCTATCCGGGTTCCCGGGGTTGCCCGCTGGTGGCCCTGTCCTCCTGGTTTCCACCCCCATGGCTCTGTCCCAGGTACAGACAGAGAAGCCTGGGTCTGGGGACAGAACAAGTCCAACAGCCCGGTATATCCTGCATCAAGCNCCAAGAGCCCAGGGCAGCTTCTGGCAGACTGGAGATGGCTGGAAGCTTCGGTGACGCCCCCCCCCCCATGGCCTGGAAGGCTGCCTTTGGTGGAGGGACAAGAGCAGCCCAGGGCAAGCCAGGAACCCAGGAGTCAGGCTCCTGGCTCCTCCTCAGCTCCTTGCCCTTACTGCCAGGAGTTCTTGAACCAGCTACTTATTCTCCCTATCCTCAGTTTCCTTACTGATACAACTCGGATGAAAACAGTACCTATTTCAGAATGGTGAGGATTGACATTAAAGCACCTGAGAATTATCTCACAGTGTCACTTTGGGAAAGTCATTTTCTCATCGCCAGTAGAAGGGGGCTGTATCAGATGCTCTCTCGGGTCACTTGTAACTCGAATCTGTCATCATTTCCGAAGTCATTCCCCAAACACAGAAGAAAGGAAAGAGGGCACCAAGCTGGACAAATAGCAGCCGCCTGCTTGGGTGCTGGCCTGTCCCCCGCCCAGCGTGTCTGGGTCAAGCAGGTAGATGCTCACAGCTGGGCAGAGACTAAAGGCTGCCCCCGACCTTCTCCTCTGGCAACCAGGATTGACTAATAACTGTCTTCCAAAGAAGTCCTCCCCAGGCTCGGGCTGGCTGGTGGCTGCAAAGAACTCTGATGCTGAATCCCTTGGGCCCTGGGGAGGAGAGCTGACTGCCACAATTAGGGGAATGGCAATCCACTCCAGTCTTCTTGCCTGGAGAATCCCATGGACAGAGGAGCCTGGCAGGCTACAGTCCACAGGGTTGCAAAGAGTCAGACACGACTGAGCGACTGACACTACACTGCTATTAGTTAAAACCTGTCCAGCCTTTGAAAGGCCTTCAACAACTCACTGGCCTACCCATTTCACATGGGCCTCCACACCCTATTTGTTCTCCATTCCTTAGAGCAATGCCAGCCCAGCGTGGTTTGTTACACGTGGGGATCTGACCATATTAAGACTCCAGTGCACCCTTTTCCAACCTGTCACTTCCCTGCTGATTTTTTTTTATTGTCCGCAGAGCCTCAAGGTGAAATTCAAACCATATCTTAGGGCATTCAAGGCTCCCATCTTCCTTTCCGATCTTGTCTCAGTATCACCTTCAGCCTCTCCCCTAGCCTGAGCACTCCACTTGCACTAACTCCCTCACTCTGCATGTCTCTCCTCCATCTGTCTGAGTCCTGTTCCTCTGACAGTGATGGCCCTGGCTTTGAACTCTGAGTGCTGCCCTTCACATAAGCTCTTCCCACTCACTACCATATAGCACTATTCATCATGTCAACCCTATTGCTGCCGCTTGATTATATATATCTTTAGGAAACCCACAAAAGTGCTCTTTGGTATTCCCACTGTGCCAGGACCCGAGAATGTACAGCGGAGTCAATAGTCCCCTTTTGTGAGCATTCTCCCTGCAGAGGGCTACACCTGACACTAGGCGGCGCCAAGGACCCTGTCCCACTTGGGACCAGATGGTTGGGGCCTGACAACTCCTGAGCCAAAACTGGTTTGATCTTTCCTATAAATATAAAGGCAGCCATTCAAGCAAAAAGTGAGACAATTATAGCAAGGTATAAATTATATCAAGGTGCCTGAGGAGGCAACACACACAGTGTCTGCCAAGATTCCATTCACCAAGAGCCAGATAGCACCAAAGCACCCTCCAGCTTTTATCATTTCTCTGCAGACTGCCGGGGCGATAAGGTAGGTGCTGCACCCCAGGAGCACCCATGCGCCTTTCTAAAATGTCCTCTGGGATTAGGACCAGGGTGAATCAAGCCAAAAATCTGGCCGAGGACCACCACCCCCTGTCTGATTCAAACATACCCCAGGGCAGGCACGCCTAGCACCAGCTTTCCAACCTACCACCTGTGAAGCAGCTGGGGCTCCCAGGGGAGAGGTGGGCAGACCAACCCTGGCTGGGCACTGCTGGGTTGTCCCTCCCGGGCAGAGCTAACTCACAGCCCTGTCCAAGGTTACTCCTGGGGATGATATTTCTCAAATGGGTGCAGACAGCCTTGGGCAAGTACACAAAGTTCTTTAGATCAGGGGTCCTTAACCCCCTGGCCTTAGACCAGTACCAGTCCATGCCCTGTTAGGAACCAGGCTGCATAGCAGGAGGTGAGTAGGAGGCCCAGTGAGCAAAGCATCTGTATTTACAGCCATTCCTCAACACTCCCATTACCACCTGAGCCCCACCTCCTGTCATCAGCTGAGGCATTAGATTCTCATAGGAGCATGAACCCTAGCCCTAAAGTCAAGGCGGAATATCCTGAAATTGCCACAAGACAGAAATAAAGTGCACAGTAAATGAAAAATG